TCTCTCTCAAATAAATAAAAATAAAATATAAAAAAAAAAAGAAAACCTATCACTGACCACATCTGCATCTAAGCACAAGCCTGGTGTTATCTGAGAAACACTGTAGGACACTGGGGCCTAAATTTAATTCTTCAACAGGCTGGTACACCTTCCTCTCCCCCCTGCACACAATTTCACCACCAAAGCCATGCTTTTGGGCAGATCACCAGCCACATGCCTGAAGCTTCTATCCAAGTGCACATGCATATTCCACGGAGGAACGGTGCTGGGAGCTTTGCCTACCTCACTAAGCAGCCCTTGTCTAGGTCCAAAGATTTTGTGGTTTATGAATGAAACCAACTATGGAATGAGGCAAACTTGGCTGAAAGGAGATACCAAATAGGACAGGTGAGTTTCAGTGAGCTGGGAAGTCACTGGGCTGTCAGCCAGAAGTCTAGTATTGTCAGAGCCACTTCTCTTTTAGGAATATGTAGAAATAAATACCACCTGGTGGAAGGGACTGCACACAGTATCGGGTACTCAGAAAAGCCCTCAGCCTCTGTCTGAGTTACCAACGAACTCTAAGCTTTCAAATCAAGTGAATGCTCTACATACGTGGGCTGGCTCAAGCTCGGGTGGCCCTGCCTTATGTTTCTATGGTCCACAGGGTGGACTAGCCCCTCCTTTTGGAATGCCCTCTGCCCTTGGCCCCTGGTACCCACTCATCTACAGGCTTCCTTCAGTCCCCTTTTCTCCTTCTCACGTCCTGCTTGCTTCTCCTCCTCTGGACTCTGTTCCTTCTTTTTCTCATCATATACTTTTCCTGATGAAGAGTGATATGTTCCTGAACAAGTGTAGAAACAGCGGGGATGAGGAACAGATAAGGTGTGAAGAGGACTAGGCAGGAGTCATCACACAGGAGGAAGTAGTTCCCGGGTTTCCACCCCTCAGAGCGAGAAGACCCTTGTCTTGTCAAGATGCTGCGCCACTCTCCGCCTGCCTCTGCCCTCACTGTATACGCAGGTGGTGGTACTTGCGGATTTACATCTTTGTCTCTCTTACTGGACTACAAAATGCTTGAGCACAGGAGTCATAACAGGAAAACTTTCTCAAGTGAATAAATGTTTACAATATGTGCAGAGATTAATGTAGCCAAAGCCACATGTATTCAGCAAGATCTGATGCTGGTTCATGGCATCAATGATCCAATAAATCCTCACTGACCACACAGAAAGTGGAAGCATTTGAGCAAGTTCTTCACTCCCAGAGGTTAAAGCAGTGTGTTCTGCTTACGTCACTTCTGGCTCATACGTCAAGCCTGACTAGGTCACCTCTTACAGATCTTGGTATCTCAGACACCTTGCAGCCAGTTGGTTAATAATGGGCCTAATGCCTTGATAACAGAGACCTTGTGGCTCCAGCCATACAGGTGGGTTCCCCTTTATCTCCAGAGATGCCCCCACTCCTGTTCACATCACACTAACCACACACTCCTTAAGCCTCCCTTCCCGTCCTATAATCACCCACAGCCACAGAGCCCAACACTCCAGACACTCTTGTACTTATTCACAGCAGCAGGTTTTCCAATATCATTCAATCATGTGTTAAAAATGTGTGTTTCTAACCTTTATATCTCTGTCTCTACCATTTCTTTCATAGTGCTTCGCACAGAAGATTCTCGAAGTAAGTGGCTGATGCATGAGACTCAGCTGCCCAAGGGGTGAGGGAGGAGGATTGAAAGTTTTAGGTTATCTGGGGAACATGGTGAGGCCCTGTCTCAATTACACACACACACACACACACACACACACACACACACACACCCCTAGACAACACTTAAGATATATATGACCAACTGGTTTAAATTTAATTTTTAAATATTTTGTGTGGGGCCCAGGAGATAGCTCAGAGGGTTAAGTGCCTGCCTGGCAAACACAAGGACCTGGGTTCTGTCTCTGGTACAGCAGGTCTTGTTGGCCTCATTCGGATGCATAGCGAGACCCCGTACCAAATAAATGAATCTTAAAAAAAATTTTGTGATATGTATAGGTACCAGTTCCCCAGAATGAATGTGATCAGTACATACTACAAACATATACTAATTTAGAACAAAATTTAAAATACATATTCTGTTAAAAATAATTTACATTTAATGTCACTAAGTTTTGGGAATCATTTTTCTACCAGAGTTAGAATGGTGTTCTCCGGGGTCTAAAATCTTGAACCTAAGCTCCTACCTGGTAAGTAAACGCCAAATTCCTGGATGGGAAGACCTGCCTCCTACCTCACCTCTATAGCTACTGTGTTTAAGTGATGACTGTGGTTAGTTTCAACACTCAGGTCAGACTTTCCAAGCTAAGGGCATATCTCCCATCCTGAGTGTAGTTGATGGCAACCACCAAATGGACATCATAGCTTGTCCAGCCCAAGGATTTCGTTTTCTGTACATATCCTTTGTTGGTCTGCATAGATCCGGCACTGCTGCCCGTTTATTGAAATACTATATGCACTGACAGAAAGTAGAACATGTTAGGAGGATATGCATTCAAATTCCCTTTGTCCAATTAGGCATGCTGCTAGCCTATCCTTGAGGAAAAGCAAGTCAGAATTTCTAAAATTGCGGGTCCAGGGGAACACAGAATTCTGTTCTGCCAAGCTCTGTGTAACATGGGAAATCCTTCCTTAGCACGTAGTTTTTCTTTCACCAATGGTCTGACACACAGCCTCAGAGAGTGGCGACCCCAATCCCAAAGTGACAGTGCTTTTGCAAGGTTTTTCTGCCAGTTCTGATTGAGGACCAGCCGCAAGCCCAGGCTGACGATCTGTCTACAAGAGCACCAGCAAGGAGGATTTGTAACTTTTGGCCTCCAGTCCCAAACCAGGAAGTGCTGTTTAACCTGAGCTGAAGACAAAAGCAATCCAGCCTCAAAAAACAAAACTCACCAGACTTGAGAAAGACTCCGCAGGCTTTTTATCTGGGATGGTTCTCTGGTTTAGATTAGAACCTCTGGCCTCCTGCCCATAAAACTTTATTAAACTTTCAGAACTGCCATAACCAAGTTAAAGAACACAGAACTCACAGGCGTTTGCACAAACACATTCACAGACCCTCTCAGTTGGTAAAGCTTCCTTACAGGCGTGGGGCAGACGTGAGTAAGCTCCCGGCTAAGGCGGGGCGCACTGCAGAAGTGTCTAATTGTCCAGATTCTTGGGGAGCAGAGTCGAGGCGGGGCCGGCCACGCCCGGGTCGGATTCTCCGGTTGCGCAACTGCCCGCTGCGTCCAGGCAAGCCCAAGAGGGAACCCTGTAACCTCCACCCCCAACCCTTACTGACCCGCCCGGAACTGAGCAGGCCCGGGGCAGGGGCGGGTCACCGGGGACCGTGGGGCGGAGGGTGTCCAGGTTCAGGCTTCAGCCCCGGACGGCTTCGGCGGGGGCAGCAGCCTGCAGCGGGCAGGAAGGGGAGGGCCCAGCGGGGCAGCGGGGCGAGGGCTCGGGCTGGGTCGGAAAAGCTGCCTCACGGCGCGCCCTCCCTCCCGCTCTCCCTCCCTCCCGGCTGTCCGCCCAGCCCCTCTTCCAGTCCCGCCAAGCCTTCCCCGAGGCTGCGCCTGCTGTGGCCTCGCCATGTCCCAGAGCCACCCGAAGCCCGCCGCCTCCCCGCGGCCCCGGCGAGCAGCCGCTGCCCGCCGACCCGCGGAGGTGAGTGGCGCCCGGGTGTGGGAGCGGGGCCGGGCTCCGAGCGGGAGAGGCGGGCCGCCTCCTTTGGGCGCTGCGGGGCCTGCGCCCAGCCCGGGCAGGGGAAGCGCCCGGGGCCCCGCGTCCTCTGCCAGGCAGGTGGCGGAAAGTGGCTGGAGGCTCCTAGGGCTGCATCAGCTCGCTGGGCGGGGCGCGGACTGGTAGCCAGGCGCGCCGGGCAAAGTTAGCTTCCTAGGCGGGAGGGAAGTGGAGGTGGGCAGGAGGGAAGGGGGGACGTGAAGGGACACTGGGGTTCACTCGGCACCCCCAAGTGCAAGGGATCGGTCCCGGGACAGTGAGACCGAGCCTCCCGCAGGGCGCGGCTGCCTGCAGAAATAACACCTCTTTCCTAACCCGCTCGCAGCCAATCTCGGAGGGGCGTGACCACCGGGGCGTGGCCACCGGGGGCGTGGCCTAGTCCCCTCCCCCGTGCCCGCCCACCCAGCCCGGGCTCAATGCCAGCAGGCTGCCAGCCGGGTCCCATCCCAGAGCAGGGTGAGCCTGGCGTCCGCAGCGCAGCGCCTCGCGCCCTCGTTGGGTCCTCCGTGGGCACAGCTCGGAACAAGCCAGTAGTGGCCATGGCGTTCGCAAGCTGGTGGTACAAGACGGTAAATGGCAGCGGCCGGGCCAGGGCAGGACTGGGAAGCGAGCGCGTTTGCTTTGCTGAGCTCTTCAGGGCACGCAGACTAAACGCTGCGGGGGCTGGAGGGCAAGGGGCGGGCACCGGCTGCGGCCCCCTCGCAGCCTTCGGGTTAGGCTGGGGAGAGGCCGGAGAGCCTGCCTCCTGTGGTGGGAGAGCGGCCACAGGATCCGATCCCATCGTGGGGGCAGCAGATGCCCCAGTCGCAGAGGGAGCTCTCCAGTCGGAGGGCGCAGGAGCCGTCGCCTCCCCTCAGGCAGGGGACATCGATGCTCTGTACCTCATTACTTTGCGTGACCAGCAGAATTGTTCCATTCGTGTAGTTCATTTAGTGTCTGTCCTGACAATTAGCTGTGATAGGCAGTCAAGCTGGCGCTTGCACTGCTTCGAAACCAGGAAGCATGACTTAACAGTGGATTGCTTTCCAAAAAGCCACAAAAGTCTTGTTGATGGAGAGACAGAATATTTATGTCCCATTGATTTATGGTGAACATTAAAATACTGGGCGCAGCTCTCTCAGCACGTGGTACTGGGAGAAGCAAAGGTGGAGTAATCAGGCACTCTTTGGAGGTTGAAACCTTGTGCTGGAGTCAGAAAGTTGTTACTTATCTGATAATGAGCATTTATGGAACATCCAGCTTGTGTTATGCAGAGCCCCAGCCTCGGATGCCGAGGGGGCAGCAGGGTGTGAAAGGATGAGCCAATGTTTTGAAACTATTTTTACAGAAAGAGTAACTTAGCCAGACTCATATATCAAGATGAATGTGTGCAGTTTTTTTTTTTTTTAATTTTATTTATTTACGTGTGTGTGTGTGGCCAGCTCAGCCCACCAGGGGGCGGGGCTGGCTGGCATGTGGTGCTGGGGGATTGAACTGTGATCCCTGTGCTTGGCTAAGCTTGTTCTAAGTAGGTGCTTTAGACCACTGAGCCATCTCACCAGCCCTATGTGTGCAGTTTTAATAAGACATCCAAATTTCTCCTTGAGATATTTCTTCATGAATATTCTCTACGTTTTCTTTTTTATTGTACCATTTTATTGATATGCTAAGAGCAAAAGTTTGCTTTGAGTCATTATTGTCCCAGGATTCTTATCAAAGTGTCCCATGTAAATTACCTGCAAATATGGGCAGCTGGGGTTCAGCGCTGACACCAGACTGTCCTTACAAACTCATGATTCGGAAGGAAATTATGCTGAACTACTTGGATGAAAATAGTTTGAACCTGTGCCCTTATACTGTTTAGACACAGTCTGACATTTTTTCTGACACTTCTCATGTAGTCCAATCTTGGAACTATTCTAAAATCCTTTTTGCTAGGAGGAATTGCCTAGAATCAGCAACCTGCCTGTGATAGAGAGTTAACATTTCCTAAACAGAAAAGTTAGAGAATGGAAATATAATGTGGGTCATGAAGGTAATTTTACATTTTCTAGTAGCTCACTCACAAAAGCAAAAAGAAGCACGTGCAGTCAATACTGATGTTATATTTTATCAACTTGATATATCTGTTATTATGTAATATGTAATCAATGTACAAGCATTGGTTGAGATAGTTTATGTTCTCTCTTCCATATTAACCCAGTGTGCATTTTACACTTACAGCACATTTCCACTTACACTTGCTAAATTTCAAGTGTTCAGTAGCCAGAAGTGGCTGATGGCTATATATGAGACAGTTAACTTCTAGCCCAGGGTTCTTAAACTTCATTCTTTTAATTTTGGCATTGGGTGGGTGAACACAGACCATTCTGAGAAACACATGGAAGTTACAGATCATTTTCCAAAAACAAAAGCTGCACAGTTAGAAAACTGTAATTTTCTATAGTGCTTCAGGGAATTTGAGATTTCCTCCAAGTCATCCACATATCCCCCAAAGATTCATGGAGCCAATTTAGAATATATAAATACATACATTGAAACATCTGATTTATTGTATGTACATATAAAATATGTATATGTCCACACTTACCTATATGAACTATATGTGTAAATATTTAATACATAGATTTTATAAGTTTACATGTATACTACCTGTAGACACATGTATATAGTCAACCCTCTGTATCTGCATATTCAACTAACTGTAGATAAAAAAATTGGAAAAAATTGTGTCTGTACTGAGTATGTACAAACATTTTTTTGTAATTATTCCCTGAACAACTATTTACCATTATTTACAATAGCTACTTACCTAGCCATTACCTTATGTTAGGCATCCTAAGTAATCTAGAGATGAAATATATAGAAGGATGTGCATAGTGTATGTAACCAGTGGTGGCAAGCCTACGGCACGTGTACTTCAGCCAGATGTTTGTTGTTATGCTGAAAGCTTTCAAAGGCTTGCCGGTGCTGCTATATGCCAGTACTGTGCCATTTTACACAGGAGACTTGAGCATCTACAGATTCTGATCTCTGAAGGGGTCCTGTCCCCAACCGCTCCTTCACAGGTGACCATGTAGAGACGCATCTCAGAATACCTCCCATAAATTCATCAATTAAAATATTTTTAGTGGGCTTCTTTCTGTACTGAAAAAGGTTTTGAATGACCTAATTTTCAGTATTTAGGAAGAATAAAATAAAATAATTGAATGCATTTATTTGCCATTGTGCTATCTATAAAGCTGGCCAGTAAAACAGTATATTGTTCATTCTCACACTGAATACTATCAGTACTATGGATCTTATCTTTTAAGGAATTCTGTGATCATATGAAACTTTATATAAAGAGCTATTTGAAGAATATCTGTGAGCATCATAATGATAGCCATGAAGAAGAGAAGATTCAACTTACATCAGTAATGAGACTCCTGGGCCTAAGTTGATTCTATTAGCCCGCAGTAATTAAAGGTGTTCCTTCGCCTAATTAAACCCGTGGACCTGGCGAGAGCATTCTCATGGAGCCTAGTCACCTGGGAGGCTCCACCACTGTAGCCAGTCTGGGAAGAATGTCACAACACTTGCCTGGAAAAACAGACCACTTGGCTGCAATGAATTTTAGAAGTACAAAGCAAAAGTATAGAGTCTACAAAAAGAACACAGAATTTGGCTAGTGAGAATGTAGAGGTCAAACACAGCTTTCCTCTTTCGTCCGTCAATACCTGAATAGCTTAGTTTCCATTGTATACAAGTTGTTAAGCTGAGTGACATCTGATAATATCGTTCTGTAATCAGTTTTGATACTTCCCAGAGACTTAATTGCATGACATGAGTGATTTTTTTTTGTAAGAACAGTGTGTGTGATGGTCTCTTGAGAGCGCAAGGTGGATGGGTGAGAGTTTGTTCTGAGCAGGCTGTCTCAGAAGATATAGGACCTTGTGAAGCAGAGCATGCCATCTTTTTTAAACGATGAAGTCTTATTAATGCAATATTAAAATTCTGTTCTTCAAGTTCTGTCACTTTTTTGTGAAAATTGCCCAAGAAACTTGACAGCTACCACAGAGGAGAATGTGTATTAAGTTTCTTCCAGTTAAGAAAATTGTAAAGGCAACTCCACCTAGAGCACTGTTTGTATGTTATCTCCTTAGTTTATTCAGGTGGGGGAAGTGTCCATGATTAGAGGGTTTTATTTTTTTTCCTTGTGGCCTTCTCAGCCCACGCTGGGGGCGGGGTTGGCATGGCATGTGGTGCTGGGGATCAAACCGTGGTCCTTGTGTGCTTGCCTAAGCAGCACTTTAGACCGCTGAGCTATCTCCCCAGCCCTCGTGATTAGAGTTTTTGAAAATGTATGAGTCTATCTTGCTGTAGGAAACTCAAGGAATACAGGAAAATGTAAAGCTTCGAGATGTTCACAGCTGTTTATTGTCCACCTACTATGTGCAGGCTTCCATGCGGAGTACTTTAGATATGAAAAATTGTTCACATGCTCCCTGACTGCCCTTCTCTACCATTTCTCAGGAGTAAAAACCACAAGTGCATCCTAATGATTAATAAGATGGCACAGAAGTAATTGAGTACGTTCTTCTGATTCTTTAACTTAGGGAAAACTCAAAAGGCTTTATTGCTGGTGGATACCCAAAATCGAACAGTTAGGCAGTCAGCGCTACCTCTGAAAACTGGACAGAAAGCGCAGGCCTTTCCAGTGCCATCTGTGTGTCCACAAGAATCATAAAATGGTAGGGAAGTGTGCGTAGGGCTCAGGGGTAGCTATGTAGTTCATCTTGAATGCCCATCTTACTGGAGAATTGCAAAGAAAGTTACTCTATCACTTTTTTTTTTCGTGGTACTCGGGATCAAACTCAGGACCTTGCGCTTGCCAGGCAGGCGCTTATGCTGCTGAGCTATATCCTCGTCCCTGGTAAAAGTGTTTAGAGGAACAGGGAGATGCA